AAAAAAAAAAAAAAAAAAAAAAAAAAAAAAGCGAGAGAGAGAGACATGATCTGATTTTCATTTTCAGTAGACGCCCCTGGCTGCCGGGTGGAGACTGGGCTGTGGGGGAGAGGAGCGGGGAGACCAGCCAGGAGGCTGCAGCTGCGGTTTTAGTCTACTCTCTACGGCCCGATGAGGGGAGACAAAGACATACGTCAAGGATGGAGCCAGGGTTTGGGGCTTGAGCAACTGGATCCATGCAGGTGCCCTTGCCTGATACAAAGATAGTCTGAGCCAGAGCACTCAGCCAGGAGCTGGCTAGACCCTCGTCCCCTGTGCTGCTGACCCCCTCTGAAGGCCCGGAGTGTTCCTGCCAGCATTCAAGGACCTCCACACCCCTCTCTCCTCTTGCCTATCCATTTTGACCTCACACTTCCCCCGGGCCACAGAGCTCTTCCCTCTCTCCTGACATGCCGTCCTCGGGCCCAGCTCCACACCTTTGCTTGCGCTGCTCCTGCCCGAGTGTCCTTCCTCCTCCCTTGGCCTGAGTGGAAGCCACTGATAGAGCAGTAGCTCTCAAGCTAGCCCCTGCCTGGACTTGCATTCCAGCCAACCACCTCCCAGCATGCCATCCTAAGCACGTTCTTTAACAGCACTCAGTTTCTTCATCTGCCAAATAAGAGTGAAAATTCTCGCAGCGACCATGTGGGGATGGTTTCAGTGTTAAAGCAGCAGCACTCATTCATTTCACTCTGGAACGACAGAAATGCCAACCATGGCTAGCCAGTGTTATTTCCTAGTGGCACAGAAATGGCATGGGGGCTGGGCACAAGAGCCCGTGCCTGTAATCCCAGCACTTTGGGAAGCTGAGACGGGAGGATTACTTGAGCTCAGGAGTTTGAGACAAGCCTGGGCAAGATAGGGAAACCCTGTTCGTAGACAAAATTTAAGAACTGGCCAAGTGTGATGATGCACACCTGTGTTCCCAGCTACTCTGGAGGCTGAGGTGGGAGGATCACTTGAGCCTGAGAGGTAGAAGCTACACTAAGTGGTGACCGCGCCCCTGCACTCCGCCTGTGCCGCAGAGCAAGACCCTGTCTCAAAAAACAAAATATAACATAAAATCAAAATGTTTGAAAAGCACGGGGAAGCAACCACTCTTTGCTATCTCATATAGCAATATGGAAAGTGAAAAGGCTCTGGCCCACAGGGAGGACTGTCTCCTTCATGGCCAAGTCTCCAGAGCCTCCCAGCATCTACCCACTGGCCAGAGGAACAGCCACAAGCACGCAATCATCCCTGCCCCCTCCAAGGACTTCCTACTCTGTTTTTACAGTAAGGGACCCAAAGCCCAGAGTCACACAGTAGACGTGCCATGAGCAGTTCCTTCCCAAGTCTTTCTGGCCAGTGGGGCCCTGGTGATACCTGAGATACCAGATAGAGACTGGTGTTTTGTTTTAAATGCAACAGGGACTCTTTGGAGGGTTTTAAGAGAGACAGAGGAGAGGCGTGATCTGATTTTCGCTTTTAATACAATGAAGGTGTACCCACATTTCCCAGGACAGCTCTGCCCTACCCAGTCCCAGTAATGTGACTTCCATCAGACTCCCATGGGCGGCTTCATGCCATACATGCCGGGAATGGTGGGGCTTGCAGCCAGCTGGGGGTCAGGTGTCCTGCCTTCACCTACATCCTGTCTACACCCTGCAGCCAGAGGCTTGCAAAGGGGAAGCCATAGGCCAGACCTAGCCTAGGCTGTTGTGCCCAACGCCACCGCTGTGTGATGTCTGTTGGAAAATGAGACCATGAGGTTTACAGGAACTGGAGTCTCTGACTAGCATTGAATGTGAAAGCAAAACTCACATGCATGTACACTCAGGCTTGTACACAGACACAGGCAGACACACAGAGGCACATGCACTCACATACACATAAGCACAGATACATGCATGTACATACATGCATGTGTGTGCATGACTGCGTACACAGGGATGCATACACTCATCCAGTGGTGCATACACCACGAGGTGCAGGCACACACGTGCACGCACACGGACGCAAAGGCTCCCAGACTCCTGTCATGTGGTCTGCCCACTTGCAGCCCTAGGCTTGCTCTCCCTGGACCTCAGGCCCACTCACATTCCCAGCTCCTGCCAAGAGATATACCCATTTTCCACCAGTGGAAACACACACATGTACACACACTCAAGATCCCAAGCCTATGGCCTCCAAGCAGCCCTGCACACACAATGGAGCTGCTTGTACATGGGCTCCATCTCACAAGGCTGCCAGGCCTCGCAGTTGGGTGCACATGCACGCAAGCACACACAAGCATCCCTTCTCTCTCTCTCTGAGTTCACAGAGGTCAGCCTCAGAAACACAGAGAACACCGTGCTCGGCCCACTCTGACTGCAGCCTGTGGGCCTTTCTGGGCCCCTCACTGCCCCAGCCTTACCCTGCATCAAACTCCACACTCCTGGACTTCATGCAGGTGTACCCTTGGCCTGGAACACCCTTCTGCCTGCTCTTCCCCTGTCCCAACATGCCACATTGCCAGCTGTCCCCTGCCCATCTACCAGAAAGCTCCCAGCAGTCACAGGGCACTAAAGTGTCAGGGGACCTGGGCCAGCTTGTGCACCTCCATAAGTCTTAACCTCTCTGGACCTCAGTGCCCTCATTACTAAAATGAAGGTCATTATCAGCATCAGACTCATCCTATTTGCTTGACAGGGGTTTCATGTCCAGCCAGACATGTAGGAGGGGCTCAGGAAAAACTCATACAAGAATGACAATAGGCCTGGTGTGGTGGCTCACATCTGTAATCCCAGCATCTTGGGAGACCAAGGAGGGAGGACTGCTTGAGCCCAGGAGCTCGAATCAGCCTGGGCAACATAGTGAGACTCTGACTCTTTAAATAAAATAAAGTAAAATAAGATAAAATAGGCCAGGCACGGTGGCTTATACCTTTAGGAGGCCAAGGTGGGTGGATCACTTGAGGCCAGGAGTCTAAGACCAGCCTGGCCAACATGCTGAAAACCCTGTCTCTATCAAAAATACAAATATTAGCTGGGCATGGTGGAAGGCACCTATAATCCCAGCTACTTGGGGAGCTGAGGCACGAGAATTGCTCAAACCCACAAGGCAGAGGTTGCAATGAGCCGAGATTGTGCCATTGCACTCCAGCCTGGGTGACAGAGTGAAACTCTGGCTCAAAAAATAATAAAAAAATAAAATAATTTGAAATTTAAAAGACTGGGCTCAGCATATTATGTCTGTAATTATAGCATTCTGGGAGGCTGAGGTAGGGGTACTGCTTGAGCCC